AATTTTCCCAAGCTCCAGAGAGGAACCAAAACCTCTTATAACGGTTCTATGAACATAGCTTCACAGTCACAAGGAGGGGGCATGCTCTATTTCACACGTCATGACGCACAAGGGGAAGCCCATTGCCATGGGCTCCTAAAAGTATTTAGAGCTCATTCGTAGTTCTCTCAGTTCAAATGCACTTTACTAACTAGGGGTCATTTTTTTTATCATAGCAAGGTTTTCTACTAACACAGTGACATTCCACTTTTAACGAGTTTCTAGGGTAACTAAACTGGTAAGTTAATCCATGGTCATTTTTCTAGAGAAATTTTTTTTAAAAACCCTTTGCTCACAGGTATGGAGATACTTGGTTGCCAGAGGGGCGGACAGTGGCAGAAACTGCTAGCTGTTCATGAAAATTCCTTCTTCCTTCTTTCCTTCCTTCCTGGGCACACAAACTCTATTTCCCAGGCTTCCCTGCAGTTGCGGAGGGTCATATCACTGAGTTCTAGCCTAAAGAATGTGAGAAGAGGTATGTGGCACATTCAGGCCTGGTTCATAAAAACTCCGATGAGGACTCCATTTTTTTTGATACCACTGTTTGGGTGTGAATGATGACAAAGACTTAGGGGTTGGTGAAGCCTTAAGACAGAAGGAGCCTGAATTCCAGAATGATTGTGTGGAGGAAACCTACCTGTGATCAAAAACCAAAGTTCAACTGGGTTGAGTCATTACATGTTTGGAGGTATTTGTTACCATAGTCTAGTCAACAATAACTATTATACCCACAAGAGAAAACTTTCTACTACTCACGTGTGAGTTACCTCCCCTGGGCTGTCTGTTCATATCACCCAGCCAGAAGATCAGGCTACAGACAAATAATTCTTGAGAAAGCAGAGGATGTGGTCCAGTGTGTAAAGGGTTTAGTGCATAAATTTAAGTCCTCCAGGTAAGAAAAGGATGCTATAAACTCAATATCAGAAAAATGTATTGAATTTTCTAGTACTGGTGGTGGATTTCACCCACAATTAATATGACTAAAACATGAACTTGTCCTCTTAGAATCCCCATTCTAGGAATGAGGAAGAAGTAGAGAAAGTATGAATTTATTCCACAGGTGTACTTACACGTAAGAAAAAGACAAAATTATTTACAGCAGGACAGTGTGTGTTAGCAAAAGGTGGTAATAGCTGTCCATCTACAGGAAAATAAATAAATTATCAAACATCTATATGATGGAATTCCATAAAGTCAAAAACAAAAGTACAAGGAAGCTTTATGTATGAAAATAGAAAGAGCTCTGTCACACATTAAGTTAAGAAAACCAAGGTATGGTACTTCCGGTGAAGATGGTGGACTAGATGGTCCCCAGCGTCACTCTCTTCCATAAATCAACGAATTTACAACTATAAAAATGTAACATCAGCCAAGCGGGGGCCACTGGAGCTCAGGTAAAGAGGAGGAGAGACCTATGGAACTCACGAAGGCAGGAGAAACCATGAGAGAGAAAGAAAAAACTGCTCTCAGCATTTCGGGCTGCAACCGCTTTAATGGAGCAGGAGCCGGCAGAAACCGCAGCTGTGCCCTTTAGATGGAGTTACATGGAGGTGGCAGGGGAGAAGAGGACTTTGATGGTCCCCAGCACAGCAAGACCACTAACAGGGTTCCCAAAGACCTGCACAGGAGTGAGGAGACAGAACAGCTGAAAAATGGGAGCCATTCAGAGGCCGGTGAGTCATCGTAAGGGACCAGCACAGGGCCCACGGGAAGTGTTTGGAGCACAGGCAGTGGGGGAGATGGGCCCACTGGGAGAACACTGGGACACAGCAAGAACAGGCTATCTGTCCCCCAATCAGCGCAGGACCACTCAAGGAGACTGGTCAGGAATGCAAAATTGCATGGAATGCAGTTTGATGAAAAAACTCAAGCCCAGATCAGAGTTTCTACTACAACAACCCAGGTTCATTGGGTCTCTGGAGAGCCGGAAGTACCTATGGAGTCAAGCATTAAACTCTGAGCTGCACAAAAAATCTTCCCTAGGGAAACAGCAGCAAAGCAGCAATTTAGCTCAACCACAGAGCTCAAGTACTGGTTCCCACAGGAAGTTCCCGTTTTAGAAGCAAGCAAAGGACAAAAACTTAGTTCCAGCCAAGGCACACCACGAATGCCTTGGGGCC